CAATTATGGTTCCTTATGAATAATAAATCTGATGTTGATTGCAGGTGTCAGATTTAATTAAAATTTCCTGTCACAAACATGCAATAACCATGCTTTGCATGCCCCATAACTGTGAGGTTTTTCCACAGGTTGAGCCGCACACATGTTGGAAGGCTTTGGACAAAACTTTCCATATCTTCCTCTAAGACCAGGCTTGGTTGTTACCATATGGGCATTGATAGCTGATGAGAGTTAGCATTTATGATGCTTGCTTTGTGTTATCCCCCTCTAGAACAAAGTTAGTGTCTGCAACTCTTAGTGTTCCATGTCGCAATCCAAAAAAGGAAACCAAAGTGGTCGCAACCAGGTGTCACAAACCATTTTTATATGGTTGCAACCATCACCAAGAATTGCGACCAGCATCTATAGCAACTCTGCAACTCGGGAGATTGCAACCTGGTTTGTTATTTTGGATTTTCCCTGAATTCAGAGTTTTGAGTCCTGAATTACTGTCTTGTCAGTGGCACACCTACTCACCAACAACCCTACCCCATTTAAATAACAAGTTCAGTTGGTCAAACAAAAATCAAAGAAAAACAGAGTATTTATTAAAATAATTAATTTATACATAACATACCAAAATCCAAACTATTTTATGACTTTTTTCTTGTTGGCCATATTGCTACAAAGATGTATATAATCATGCAATAATTTTAATCTATATGACAGAAGACTGATTGGGCAAAAACCCATCTCAAAATTATTAATTGGTTAGTATCAAAAAAACGAATTTATGAAAATGATTATACAAAACAAACATTATTTTACAACTTTCCTCTTAACATCAGAGCCCAAATGCAATTTCAGGGCTACCAACCCTGCTCTGAATTGTAACCCCTGGTGCTTGAAACAAGTTGCAGATTCTCGTTGCTTTGATGGACCTGAATATTTACATAGCGCTACAATTCATCAGCAGAGTTGTAATTTGGTCACAGTGCCATCCTTCCCTAGAGGTATGATCGTTGCAGGTAACTTTTCAGCTAGCATGCCAGCAGCCTTATCTGGTGAGGGAAGATTGGTGAAAAGCGTCATTGACAATTGGTGCAGTTTTGATAAACTCCAGGGCCAAACTCCCATCCCCTGGAATTCAGTTGCAACATTGTATCATTGAGGGTGACTCGGTCAGATTAGCCTTATGTACACGAGGAATACTGTAAAGTGTTCAAGGTAGCGTGCGTGCTTCAACGCCTGCTATTTTCCTGTAATCAAACCTCACATACTCAAAATGTCTCTTTTTCAACAGTGTGCTGCCTTGACATCTTGTAATTATAATAATATAATAATATTAATATTATTGATTACGAAAAGCAAAATACCAATTGTTCGTTGTTGATAAGGATCTTATAATTACCCCCAGCAATGATCTGCTCCGCGTTTTGATTCCAATTAAAATGTTTATATAAAATAAAAGACATAAAAATAGTACCTCTGGTTAGTTATTAACACGTATTCTTTAGGAGACTCATGTTTTGTCTGCAAAAAAATAAATTGTTTTTCCAAAAGAAAAAAAAAAAAAATTTCACGTCAACAAAAAAAATCTTTGTACAACACCAAGTGCAATAATAAAATAATTAATGATGCGTTTGTCGATCAAATAAAATTATCTTAAAAAATACAATGCCACGCGATAAAAGAAGTAGGGAAGAAAATCATAATAATGAAATAATTGAAGGGTAAGTGTTTTAAGAATGGTGGTGGGTGGTTATCGCCCGCCATTCGTCGTCACTCTAGTGTTTATCATAAGAATGGTGGTTATCGCCACTCTAATTTATGTATAATCTTGTTTTTTATTTATTCAATTCCCAAGATCGATCAAGGAAACATATCCTATACTGATTAAAAATTATATTGATCTGGATGCTTTATATGATGAATTAAAAGATCACATACAGGGAAGTACAGCACCGCTAAAACCTGTACAGGTCTTTGAATTATTAAAAATTATATATGAGGTAACTTTCGCTATCGTCTATTGTTATATTATTATTAATAAAGTTTATTACACCATAATTTAATTTGTTTAAAAAAAAATTCAAGGGAGAAAATCATAACAATAATAGTGATATATATTTTCAAAATCCACCTGATGAAGATGGAGATGATTACGAAAATGATGAAAATAATGATGGCAAAGAGCATTTACAAGAAGAACAAATTGTTGTGAATGTAGAGGATAGTAAAAATGCGACTGCTGCCATTAATACTGGTATTAATTTATTATCATCACCATCAAGAAGCATTACTACATTATCATCGCCATCATAATCACTGTTGCCATCATCACAATATACACTTAATGAAGATTTGTTGGATGATGTTAATATCAACAATGATGTTGATCAAATGGATGATGACGAATTAGTCATCATTAATGAACGCTGGGGACCCTGGAGTTCATATGAATATTTACTCTTATTAAAATTTATATTTAGAAAAAAACTTAATTGTAAATTTTTGAGAAGAAGAGGAATAAATCGATCACATGAAAATATCCAAATGAGATGGAGGGAAATGAAGAAGGAGATAAAGGCTATATATGGAATTGAATAATATATTTATTTATCATGTTATAAAAAGAATGACAAAACACGTATTTTATTTACTTAATTGAAAATATATATATGAATTGAGTTATTGCATTGCAAAAAAAAATAAAAAATAAATTTAAAATTGTTACTACTTTAAACGGTCTGTTTATTTATCACAATCGAATCTTCATCTTCTTAACTCTCATCAGTTAAATCTTCAACATCTTTGTTATATTCTTCAGTTATAATGGTTTCAATATGCTTATTAATGTTGCCTTTCGAACTTTCTAAAGTACTTCTAAACTAGTTTCGAAGGTTTTTAATACAATCAGGGAATATTCCAAATATGGAATTTCTAAATACTGCAATGATTGACTTTCTAGAATTTCATATGGTTGGCTCGGCCTAAAAGACATCCTATTGCTGCGCCATATTGACAAATTCGCAATTTTGTAATTCGTTCAAATTTAGATATGATAGTTGAACTCAGGACTGGAAATAGGACCTGAAAAAAAAAACGGAAATTTCTCTGAATGCTAAAAATTTTTCGGAAGAAAAATTCAAAAAAGGAAATTTTTTTGGATGCTGAAATTTTTTTCAAATTTAAGAACTTTCTTTTATTCTTCTATTTTTTTACTAAGAGTATCACTAAAGCATAACCAAATAAATCAGTACCTTCTAAACCAATCATCATTAATAAGTGCAATGTGTTATTTTCCATTGCACTACATTTGATAATATTCTGTTTGCTAAAACTTCTTTCACAATCTACACTAGAAAATAGAATTGAGTGCACTATTTCTATAAGTTTTAAGATATAAATAAGACTGAAAGTTTGGAAATTGGAATATTTTCTTTTACCATCCAGTAAATATTAATTATATGTTTGTTACCATTATTATTGAAGAATCTTGCATGGTTATTCTTGCCTTTTTTAGAAGCAAAGCATTTTTATGTTGGTTTGAAAGTGCATGAGTTGCTAGAGCAGTAGATTTTGAAACATTCTTTGATATAATATTAGTAAATTAATAATTGCAAAATGCAAAATTAATTAGACTTATTTGTCATCTTTTCCTGCAAATTGATTCTTTTCCCCATGTACTTTACAAATTGTGCAAAACATTCTCTTCATTGCTGTATCATATTTTAGCCATTTATATATGTTAGCCATTCATACTGAAAACTTCTTCCTAATTTTTAAAATGCACTTTTTTATTTGGCATTTTAATATGGTTTACACTTAATTCACAATTTTTTCTTTTCTTATTTGATTTTTTTGAAGTATCATCATCATCTGAACCTTGAATTGTCAAATCACCTGACATTCTATATCTGATTCATCAATATTTGTTTCATCTATAAATGCTTCATCCCAAATTTCAGTAGTCAAATTATCTAATTCTTGTTCTATACTATTTATTTTTTTGAATAAGAGAAAAAAAATTCATATCTAAAGTGTATATATTTTAAAATTTAATAAATCAGTGCACAGAGATTTTCTAGCTGGTCTAGAAGAAGATAATAATTTGAAATCCTTAAAATATGATGTCTTCAGATAATTATGACATCAATTGACACCAGAGATTCAAATTATGAGTCCTAGGACTGACTTATGTGATACTTGTCAACGTTTTCAAAATGGTTTACATTACAGTGTTCATCAAGAAGAAGAAGCTAAAGATTTACTCAAAAGATTTAAAGAACATCTGTCCAAGGCCAAATTAGAGAGAAATTATTATAATAAAAACACTAAATTGGCTGAAGAACAAAGAAAACTAGTTGACCAAAATTATCCCAAAGGTAAAACACAATATTGTAGTATTGATGCCACTGCTCATTATAGTTATGATCCAATGTTCGCTCTGTCTGGTTATGTTGCAGCATGCCCCATTTAAGAAATTGTATTGTAGTATATGTGATTTGGATATGATTGTCAAATAATAATTATTGATTTATTTGTATATGCATAAATTTTTTTATTTATATGTAATTTTTTAAAAAATGTTTAGTCCTGCAACTTACTGCAATAACATTTTATTCTTTTCAAACAAGTCATCTCAAAAGAAATTGAGTTTACCGACATCACCAGTTCAATTAAATAACATTAATGAGAATCAAATTGTTACAGAACTTGATGCAGGATGCTATCCATGAAGAGAATGAAAATTTTACTATTTCAGGCTTAGGAAACAAGAAAAGGGTTATTTTCAATTTGAAAATCAAAAACTGACTAATAAAAGCGATTTTTATTCTAATTCAGATCAAGAATTTGAAAATTTATTGGAAAATCAACATGAATTTTCTTATGGATCTTTACTAAGTCATGAACTTTTTTCACAAGATGAAGGTAATGTGTTAATAATACGATATAGTAAATATTGATAACAAATTGCTTATTTTTATTTTTTTTTATGATGATAATAAATTGCTCATCATTATAAATCATTACATTTTGTAGAATCAAATCCAATTTTAATGAAACTACCAGAAATATGCCAAGGAACACAAACTGTAATAATAAATTAATTTCAGCTGCCGTAAAGATGATTGGCACCATAATTTATTACAAAGAATTTGTACATCAAAGGTCTAATGTGTCTGATTGTTAAATAAAAAATCAGATTATTGAGGCAGTTTGAATAGAAGCAGATTCAGTAAAAAATTATGGCTTAATATTCAAAGGGCCAACGTTTATCCAGTTTCTATACAACAGTTTAACTGAGTCATGTGTTATTATTAGTTTGGCAAGAAAATAGGTGAGTGATATGAAAATTTTTAGAAATAACCAAAGACTTGGTTTTACATACATTAACGATTCGCATGGGAACTTTTAATACTGTAAAAAGAAATTAATTCAGAAATCTGCAAATCAAATTAGTTTGGGTAATAATTATACACACGCTTATCGAGTTTATTACTGTATTATTAAATAAATATGTAAATTTATTTATCATTAATAAATATTAATTAATAAAAACTCTCGTTACAGTGAACTTTACATTAAATTATATAATATATTTACTATAAAGAGATTTTTTGTTACAGTGAACAAAATTTTGGGAACAGAAGGTTCGCTTTGATTTAATAACTAAATTTTATTTATTTATAAAATTATCCAAGCAGAATACCTTGTTTTCTCAAACGTTCAACCTTGGGTCCCACCAGGGTTGAAATTTTTAATTTTCAACTCGATTACAACCCTAGTTGTAATCGTCAGCCACATTTCAAACCCAAACCCGATTAATTCGTGAATACCCGATCCTATTTGTCCTTATTATTACTATTATTAGTTAAAATTAGCCAATGTTGATCTATATATATTTTTCGAAATCAATAAATCCCTATATTATATATATATATATAAAAAAAAATTTTTAATAATATTTTATTTAAATTTAGTAGAAATTGTAAAATGCTATCAATAGACATTAATAATAATAACAACAACAACGATAATAATGGAATACTCGTAGATGGTGAGGACTCGGAAGAAGAAAATACTTTATTAGACGAATCAAATCATGCTGCTAAAAAACAATCTGCTCTTGACGCGTTAATTACAAAAATTGGAATGGGAAAATTTCAAAAACAATTATTGGTTAGTTTTAGGAAATGTTTATTAGTTATAGAATAAGATTAGTATTTATTACTATTAGAATCAACATTAGCACTAGCAATATTTTCCTTTTGATTGCTGCCAGTCACCCTTATTATTACAATTTCTATTATTATTTATCTGTGTTATTTATTTATATATAGGTGAAATAAATAATAATATAAAAGGTTTCGATTGATAATAAATGGTTTTGTGGTTTTATAGGTTTTATGTGGATTCGGCTGGCTTGCTGATAATGTTAGTGATGAGATTAATTATATTATAATCAATAATTCATATCATATATTTGTATGTGTATATATAAAAGTTAAAAACTAATTAATATCTAATATCATATATCAATTTAATAGATGTGGCTACAGGTAATGTTACCTATTGACTTTTGGATCTTAATATCAAACATCATTTATTAATAATACATTTATAATTATTATTACAAGGGTGTGGCTGTAATATTACCAAGAGTTCAGCGTAATTATAATACTTTAATAATAATATTATCGCTATTTACGAAATATATCAATTAATTAATCAATGATTATTATTTAATTTAGGTCATTATAATATATCAAATGAATATATTGGTATTTTATCTAGTTCAATATTTACAGGAATGATGTTTGGTGCCCTTTTCTGGGGGGTTCTTTCTGATTCTCACGGTCGTAAGCAAGCATTCAATTGGACCTTAGCGATCACATCATTATTTGGAGTATTTTCAAGTTTTTCGCAAAATTTCGCACAATTATGTTTTTTATTATTTTTATTAGGATTTGGTGTCGGTGGAAATATGCCAGTTGATGGTATGCAAATGTCTTTTATACTTCTAAAGGTAGGTTAATGATGACAATAATTTCTATATTTTATAATTAATTTTAGGCGCACTTTTCCTGGAATTCATACCAAAAGAACATCAGTATCTTTTAACTTTTATGTCAGTATTTTTTTCATTTGGAGCTGTCTTAACATCAGTGTTGGCATATATTATTCTGCCTCCATACAGTTGTCCAGAAGTGAAAAAGGGCGAAATAGATACTTGTGATGTGTCGATAGAAAATAATGGCTGGAGATATTTGTTGGCAACTTTAGGAACTTTGGTTAGTTTATCAAAATTTACTTCCTCCTAACGGTAATTAATTAAAATTATTCAAAATAAATTAACAAGTAATATTATTTTAGACATTTCTTATGCTTGTTGCTCGTATATTATTTTTTCGTCTTCAAGAATCACCAAAATATCTAATATCTCGTAATCGTAAACATGATGCAATATTAGTACTGCGTAAAATTGCAAGCATTAATGGCAATGATATGCAAATACAAGTCACTGATTTCCCAACAACTCCAGTAGCAAGCAATAAAGCAAGCATGGATGGATCCATTTCTCCATCATCGTTTTCTTACCCAACACGTCAACAACATCATGACGATGATCCAGAATCATTTTCAAAGTTTTTCTCTAATCCTTTAGGTTTTATAAATTCACGTCTCTCATCAAAGGTGGTAGCGGTCAAACCATTATTTTCAAGAAAATGGGTTACTACTACATTACTTGTATGGGCTATATGGACTCTGGTTTCATTTGGTTATACTATGTTTAATGTTTTTCTGCCTAAATATCTTGAAAATCTAGGTTCAGATGAAGATACTGATGATGAAAATCGATCAATGAAAAATGTATTAAAAGATTATCTGATTTATTCAATATGTGGATTACCTGGTTCTTTGCTTGGAACGTATTTTATTGAGACAGCCCTTGGTCGTAGAGGTACAATGTCTTTGGCAACATTTGGAACTGCCTTTGCTGTGTTTATGTTTTCCATAGTCAATACACATTCTGGTGAAGTGATTTTTTCTGCAATGTTTAGTTTATTGGCAACTTTAAATTATGCTGTTATTTATGGCTACACGCCTGAAGTATTTGAGGCAAAATTAAGAGGTACTGCATGTGGCATAAGTTCTGCATTTGGGAGAATGTGAGTTATATATAATATTTATATTTATATTGATTGGTTAATCTTTTTAAAAAACAAAATTTTAAATAAAATTTAAAATTTTTCTAATTTAATAGAGCTGGCATAATTGCTCCTATAATAACAGGAATATTATTATCAATTGGCATCACAATTCCACTATATGTATCGTCATTTTTATTTTTGTTATCCGGCATTTGTATGGTATTATTACCAATAGAGACTAGAGGAAGACAAGCTTAAAATATTTATATTTATAATGATAGATTTTATTTATGTATAATAAATCTATATTTATTACTAGAATATTTTTTCCATTTTGCAATTATTAATAAATCAAATCAAACACTCGTTAAAAAAAAACAATTTTGTTTATCTAATTTTTTTAATTATATTATGTTATTTATATTGTATTAATAAACTCTTTATTTTCTTTATTATAATTTTTTATAATTTTTTATAATTCATTTTTTTTTCAAAAAAATAAAAGAAATTATTATTTTTTTTTTCAACGAAAAAAATTTAAAATAAAGAGAAATATAATGAAATTCTTCAAACAACTAATTATGAATAATAATAGTAATAAAACCTTATTTATCATCACAAATCAAACATCAAACATTACACACATTAAGCATTATGTTTCGTATAAATAATAATAATATCTCATTTGGAGTTTATTACACATGAGTTTTTTGATATAGCTGTGTGCATGACTTTAGTTATTCTCAACACAAATTGATTGCTTGTTTGACAACACAAAAAATTCTGTGCATGATGATATGTGAGATATTTTCACCTTTTCCCGAGCCTCGTATATTTTGGTTGGATGGTTAGTCTCTGGCACAAAGTTGAGAAGGATCATCCCTTCAAATTTCGACTGATTGTCACCGTTTTCGATTCGCGGAGTTATTGATTAGAACTACCACACAGGTCAACGTTTTTAATTATAATTAATTCCATTAATAAAATTGAAAATGCCAGTTGAAGGAATCCTCCTCTCCAATTAATATTAATATTCAGCAAGCGAGAGCCTTTGGCTTTACATCCTTTTAAACATATTACAACCTTTCAAATAAATATATTACGAGCATGAATTTTTACCGAATAATCGTGGTGTGTTATTTCGTTGTTGATTTTACCATAAATATCACCATGTATTTTTTAAAAAACTTTATGTAGGCTTTCAACTTTCAAATAGTTTACTTGCAACGACTTCCTTTCAACTTTTAAATAATCAATTTCCATAAATGTTCTGATCAAATATTTAACGAAAACATGCGCTGTACTATAATCCTGACGATTCTATGAGGCCTTTTTTTTCATGACATTCTGCACAATTTGACGTTCCCAAAGCAACTATAGTTGATTGATTGTATCAATTTCCATTTTTGGGGTATAAGATAATCACATTTCTACCCAATCAAAATAAAGAATGGGTCGATTTATTGTAACAGGGTAGGTGGTAAGAGTTTTCGATGATAGGTAATACTGGACAACATACCTTATGGAGTTATCCAAAGTGGCATCCTAAATAGTTGCCTCTTTGATCATTTATTCTCAAAAATGACTTTTAGTGTACAAACTTTAAATCATCCTTGATCAAAAAAGGCAATACCTCTATCCTTGTAAATGAAATGACTTTAACACATGGTTTCATGTAAAAAGGATTGCATGTCTGGTTTCAACTGCCTTAGTAATTAGGTGTTGCAGTTTTATATGATGCAAAGGTGGTGGTTGCCAGCCACGGAAAAAGCATTCTAGTGATTCACAAGAAGAGCCTGAAATTCTGAAGTACAATTTTCTTCAAAGTTCTGGGCATAGACCCCCTTTTTTTTAGGTTTCTTTGGATGCACTTGTGATTCTTTGCCAGGCAACATTGTTTCCAAGCACTTGAACGAAGTGAAAGGATACTTTATTAAATCTGACACCAAGTTCAATACATTAGATTTAATTATTGTTTATTTTCCAACTCTGCATGATGGAATGGTCAACATTTAATCAACTGACGAAATAAGAGCATATTGACAAAAAGGAAAAGTTGACGAAAAGAAAAAATTGATGAAAAAAAGAGAAAACATAACCATTTTCACAAAGAAATTTTTGTAATAAACTGCAATAATAATTTTTATTTAAACTTGTTTTACATTTTACATTTAAAATATTCATCTTCGTTTGTATTATATTCAGAATTGTTATCAATTTCATTACTTGTAAGACTGTTATTAATGTTAATATCATAACATTTTTGTTCTATATAATTATTTCTATCAGTTTCATCGACTTCACAATCATCATGAAAATAACTATTTTCTGAATTATGTTCATTTTCAAATTCAACAAAGATATCTTTTACTAAATCACTTGGATCATAATTATTATCAGAAAATTCGTAAATTGATTAGCTTTGACTATTGTGACATTTTAATGTAAAAAAAAAATTTTTATAACATCTCCTTTTCGTCACATTTCGTCAACTTTACCACATTAACATTTTAACAATAATTATCCGTGGAATATATCATTATAGAGATAATGCAATTTGGAATTCACAGGAGGCCATTTTAATAAAGAATTGGTTCTTTTGTTGAAGCGTATAAATTGGTTAGAAGAAATTTAATGATTATTCTGAAAAATTAAGTTGAACTAAACTTCCAAATATTTATATTTTAAATAAATTAATATAATAATATTATTGAATAAACAATCAAACTTTATTGTTTATTGTTATTAAAAAAAAATCGAATCAGCTAATTCTTTTTTTTTATTTTTCGCGATTAGCCAAATTTTTTCTTGCGACAAAACAATTAATCTTTATTATTATTATTTTTTATTTTTTAATAAAAAAAAAAACAATTGATCTTTATTTTCGTTATCATTGAACAATCAACCTTTATTTTTGTTATCATTAAATAAACAATCAAACTTTATTGTTTATTGTTATTAAAAAAAAACGAATCAACTAATTCTTTTTTTTTATTTTTCGCGATTAGCCAAATTTTTATCTTTGATCAAAAACCATTCACAAATTTCAATTTCATATACAACAGACTCATAGATTCGTCTAGGTGCAAGAAAGGGAAAACCAAAGTAAAGTTGAAACTAATTAATTGACATGCATCAAATTAACTGACAAGAGCAGCCCAAAAGTTAAACAATAATTGTTAATTAACCAAATTGTTATCTCGCAACATCACCATTTAACAAGAAACAAAAATTGTAAAAAGTTTATTATTTCAAAACATCATTATAATTTAGCTTTGAGAAAAGAAAATAAGGATGAAATATAAAAATAAAAAATAGTAATAAATTTATAGTGGAGTTTAAATTAGTCATCTATAGATACCAGAATTTAATGTTTATTAATTAATTAATTAATTAATATTGATATTAATTTTTAATCAATTAATAATAAGTTTTATTTACCTTTGTTAACATTCTAGAGAAAAGAGTCAAAATCAAGATTATTTAATGAACTATCATTACTTGCATAAATTTTCAAGCTTTTAGATTTAGCAATCTCTTTGTCTAATATTCTACTTTTATGATATGCATCTGAATGTGACTTGTGTTCTTGTTGCGAAGCACCACTACCACTACTAGTAGTGTGATTACCATTATGACATTATTATTATTTTTAATAGTTTCTTCTAGATTTTCAGCAAATTTCGAAAGTTCTCCACTAGTTGGTCTTTTTGATGGATCCACATCCCAACATCTCTGCATCATTTGCGCATAATCTTCAGGCATACCAGGTAATATTGGTAGTCGTAAACCTTTTGCACATATATCAAAAATCAAACAATGATTGTGAGCTCTATCTATCATTAAAGGGTGGATGACCTGCAAATATTTCCCACATTAACATCCCAACACTATAGATATCAGTTTCTTTGGTGTTCGTCATGTTACTTCCTCTAAGTAGCTCAGGTGCAACATATGATATAATTCCATAGACTTTATTTGATGACTTTTCATCAACTGGTCCACATAACCCCAAATCTGTAATATAACAATTACCTCCATTCACAAGTATATTACCACTATGTAAATCACAATGGATTAAATCTTTTTCATGTATATCATCTAATGCATAACATAAAGACATAAAGATTGTAATTCTGTCTTTTTAATGTTAAATCTAAATGTTTTTGCAAATAACCCTTTAAATTTCCTCCATTATCTGGGAATTTAGTTATACCAAAACAAGGAACAATCAACCCCGATTTAATTTCATAATAATTCATTGCCTATTTAATATAAACCAATTAGTATTATATATTACAGTATTGTTTATTTTGCTTAAATGACAACTACTCACCTCATCAAAAAAGGCTTTTCCTGGATTACTTGAATCATTTAAACTTTTTAATACTACTTCACACCTTGCTGAATAACTAAATTCCTTTTTATTTTTGTCATAATCAACTATTCTTCCTCTTGTCCATGTAGCAGTAAAAATCAAACTAAAGCCACCTTCTGTCAATTTTGTTATATCTTCAAATTGCTCAAAAGGTATACATTCTAAAACATGTTTTGGTAGAGATGATTTTATTTGACATTGTTGAATAAAATCATCGATTATGTTATTTCCAGATGTCCAAGTGGTGAAAAGGTTCTGTGATTGTAAACTAATACAACTTTCACAGAATCTATCAGAGTATCTTACTGATTTACATTTATTACATTGTTTTGGTTTGCACCATTTATTCCCTTGCATTTTTTAATTCGAATAGATAAATAAACTGTTCTTTACAATATTCTTTTTCATTTTCAGAAAGCTCCTTGTTTTTTTTTGACCAATGAAAAAAAATAATCTTTTCTACTTTCTCTATCAGAATTAACTGATGCATTACTATACATTTCATTACCAATTTTATATACAAATTCCTTTCTTTCTGGTGATGATGATAATAATAGTTTAAAATGTGACATCGTATAAAATTCGACTTGGTATTTTGATGAATAGAGAATGGAAATTTTTTTTAGAGAATAAAAAAGATTTGCCGTGTTACGGTCTCTTCTAAATGTCGTAATTTTCGTGTAGATTTTTGTGCAATATTTTCTTTTTTTAAAAAAATTTGAATACACGGGAAATATTCTGTTGTAAAGAAGATCCGTTAAAACTTGAAACGGTAAATCTGGTGCAGTTATGGTAACGAATCACGAATCTTCTAAACATTTTGTTGCTCAACTTTAGTAAACTGAATTGTTGGGGAAGGATGAGATCAAAATCAAAGGGT